GGGAGGTCGCAAAATTGACCTGACCTTAGGTCATAGATATCAAAATTCTGATATATAAATTTTGTACATGCTATTACTTTTAGCAATCGCTGAAAGGTTCAAAGCGATCGGTCACTCAATGCAGCTGTGACAGTCATTGAAACTTTTTATGAGGTGAGGTCACCTCAAGTGACCTGGTGACCTGACCTTGAATGACCTTGGTCTGAAATTTTTACAAAATGTGTAGAATTGATGTATAATAAGGTGTACCAAAAAAGGCGGCGCTCCGCGCCGCCGTTTTTGAGATATTCGCAAAACACCACAAGGGGGGGGGGGTGTTCAAACACCCCCCAGCAGGGCGCGGGTTAAGCCTATCGGAAAATACTAAATTCGGAAAATACTGGAGATATCCGCTTCGTTCTATCACTTTTGTGCTTTGAAACCACAGTACTTAACAGCAGGTCACTTGGTGCTTCTTTGTTTGGTGCACTTATCCATGGGTCAGGTCAAATGAGGTCAACTGAGGTCAAATGACGTTTTTGCCAATAACTTGGCACATAATGACGCTAGAGCTTAAAAAATGGTGTCATTGTGTTCCTTGTAATCAGCCGAATCGAATGATATCCACTATGATGCAATTTGGTTAACCCGCGCACCGACGGGGGGGGGCGGATATCCGCCCCCTTGAGGTTTTTCGCGAATAGCGGGAAAACCGCGGCGCGTAGCGCCGCGAAATTTGGTATGACTATTCCCTTATCAATTTTACACATGGTGTGCAAGTTTGAACCTCCTACCTTTCAAGGTCAGGTCACCAGGTCACTTTGAATGACCCAACCTCAAGTCACTTTTTTGCAATTTTGTCACCGTGCCAGAGCTACAGTAGATGTCGGAGGCCTTTGAAAGTCGCAGGATGTTATTAGGTCATTAGTAGCTACAATTTGTATATCTCGGAATTTTGATATCGGTGACCTAAGGTCAGGTCAATTTCGCGACCTCCCCATTATAAGTCAAGGAGGGAAAAATCAACTCCCTGTTTTTACCACTAAAACGGGTCGGAATGGCCCCATATACCATACATGACTTCATATACGATCAACCTTCACTACCTTGAGGTCTGTTTTGCTGTTGGGCAGCTGTGAGGTCATGTGACGTCATCAAAGGTCACCAAAGGTTTTTGGCCAATAACTCCGTACAGGAACAAGATACAGACGCGTGGATGGTCTCATTGTGTTCAGCTCGTCAAGACGCATCGAATGATATACATGATGACCTCGAGGTCACGTGACCTGAGGTCAACCTTTGACCTTGACCTTTCGAGGTCAACATATATATCATTCGATGCGGATTGACGAGAGGATCACGATGATGCCCTTAGTTTGTTCCTATCTTGACTAATTCGAAAGTTATTTGAGAAAAACTCTCTCCATATTTAGCGCCGCCATTTTGACTTTTTCGACCCCTGTGACGTCATCTTTGACCTGACCTGAAAATGACCTTAGTAAAAATTGTAGATCCTGACCGTGCGTATCCGATGCCGTTTACCGCTTGTCGCTATCTTGCTTCGTTCTCGAGATCTCAGGGGGGGGGCGGTCATCCGCCCCCCCCGTCGGTACTAAGTTGGCGCAGACCCCCGTCGGTGCGCGGGTTAACTTGAACTTAATTAATTAATTAAAGTTAACTTAAAAATTAAGAAAAACGTTAAATACACTTAAACACGTTTACGCATAATTATCCCGCGCCCCGTAGGGGGGTTGGGGGCCGAAACGGCCCCCTTGTCCTTTTCCGTCGATATCTCCTAAACGGCTGGAGATATCGCCATCAAACTTTCAGGACCCCTCCGGGCATCAATTTTACACATTGTGACAAAAAAAATCCAGAGGCTATGATAGGTTGGCCACAAATGACGTCAGAATGACGTCATGATTTGCCATTTTCGACCGAAAAAACACCTTCGCGAGAAGAGCTGTCAGGCCTACAGCTTTGAAGATACAGAAAAGATCGAGACATGAAGGTGTAGAATTGACAGGGCTACAAAACTGCTATCTCGGATTTTTGAAATTTTAGAGGTTTGACCCCTAACAATCAAAAATGCAATTTTTTGGATATTTTAGCCAAAAAATCCAAAAAGTTTTTTTTTTGAGTTTCGCAAAACCGTAATATATGTGATAGTACCTACCGTCTTCTATCTACATACGGAATTAAAGATCGATATCTCCTTTGTTGGCCAAGTTATAGCGAAAAAACTGTTCAAAAATGATGACGTCAAATTTTCAAACTCAATTTTTGGCAATTATAGACAACATAGGGCAAAACAAAGACCAGCATTGGACTCCCCGTGACAAGCTGCTAAAATGGATACCCATTTTATGCAAAAATATCAACTTTGAAATTTGATCTAATTTGACCTCACCTTGACCTGACCTTGACCTGACCTTCACCGGAACATAATCTAAACTGACCCCAAAGGCTGCCTGACCCACATAATTGCATTTGTCATGTAAAATGGACCATAAAACATGCATCACACGACACTTTCATATTGTGACCCCTCCCAGTGACCTGACCTCTGTGACCTGACCTGGTATCAGTGACCTCAGATAGCGAAGTATGTGTTTGACGAACAATATACCATCGATGGTTTTCAATAACTTACCAATTTACTCGATTTCACCTGAGTACTTACCAACACATTTCGATTTTGTTTGACCTGACCTGTGACGTCATCGGTTTGACCTCGTTAAATGAAATTTATACACAAGGTATGTAGTTCCCCGGTGGGGCTATCGAATGCCGTTTGAATTTTGAAAATCTGCCAGTAAATTACCGAGATCTTAGGGGGGCCGAAACGGCCCCCCTACGGGTGGTAGGGTCCGCCGGTAGCCCTACGGGGCGCGGGTTATAAGGCCTCCAAAACGAGGTTGCAATTTGGCGGCGCTGCGCGCCGCCAATTTTTTAGCACCTTCCCGGGCATCAATTTGACACCTTCACACACAATTTCATGTCTTAGGTCACCTTAGGTGAGGTGTTATTCAGGTCAAACTGAGGTCATGTTCGAGAAAAGATGAGCAAAAAACATGAAATCTTGAAACACTCACAACAGCTACAGTTACAAAGCAATTTCAAAGTTCTTTATATGGTCATGTAAAAAAGGCAGCACTACAAAACTGCTATCTCGGATTTTCAAAATGTTGGGATTTTGACCCAAGAAAAGAAAAAAAAGTTGTTTTTTAGAAAAAACGCAAGAAATCCATTTTTCCGAATTTCGAGAAAACCGGAATATATGTGATAAACCCTGCACTCTTCAATATATATACCAAATTTTAGATTAACACTTCTTTTTTGGCCAAGTTAACCCGCGCGGGGCTGGGGGGGGGGGGTAAATTTTACCCCCCCTCGCGAATTTTTGCGATATCTCAAAAACGGCGGCGCGCAGCGCCGCCAAACTTTCAGTACCTTTTCTTACATCAATTTTACACGTTCCCTGAAAATTTGAGCGAAATCCGTCGGAAAATTTTGAGAAATTGACGTTTTAGTGACGTCATGTTCGCCATTTTCGCCTCAAAAACGGCAAAAGTTCAAACGCCGCTAACATCTTCATTTTTAAAGGAATCAAGACGTAACAAAAAAGGTTATACGTAACTTTACTTTGTCTATCAATTGGCTATCTCGGTTTTTTGAAAATTTTGGATTTTGGCCTAAATTTTTTCAAAAAACTCATTTTTTTGGGAAAATCATTATAAAATCCAAAATTTTAAGTCTATCAAAAAAACCGGAATATATGTCAGAGAAGTGGTCTATGTGCACCTACATACCAAAGTTTAGAAGAATCGGTTCAAAAATGTGGGAGTTATTCAAAATTTTATGACGTCACGACACACAAATTTTTTGAAAAATGACTTTTTTGGAAGTTCTAGACCTCGTACGGAAACAAAAATAGCACCATTCGATTCGCCGTGAAAAACTGCATCATATAGACACCTTTTTAGGCCTTTACAACCAACTTCAAAATTTGACCTCACTTGACCTGACCTTGACCTGACCTCGACCTGAAATTCATCCAGAGGTGGTCCATATCACTTATTGAGTGTGCCTATTGAATTCTATGAGTAAAATGACCCATAAAACATGTGTCGCACATGCCCTTTTCTATATTTTGTTTTTTGGTGACCTGACCTGACCTGACCTGACCTTGACCTTGACCTCTGAATGATATTGTATGCAACGAATATTGTCTTGGTAGCCTAAGAACATGTTTTGGGCGATCAGTCTCAGTCCATGACTCCATTCTTCGGCAACTACGGTGCATGGCCGATACTGTAGAAACTTGCAATTTGTACCCTTGACCTGACCTTGACCTTGACCTCAAACTTTAAATTAAGTACATGTTTTTAGTAGTTCGTGATGAGAGCTTTCGATTGGCGTTTGAATTTTCTAAATCGGACCATTAGTTCGGGAGATAACAGGGGGGGTAAAATTTACCCCCCCCAGCCCCGCGCGTTCGGCTGGAGACCCCAGCCCCGCGCGGGTTAAAGCGAAAAGAAGTTTCAAAGTTGATGACGTCAAGTTTTTGAACTAAAAGTTTAGCAATTCTAGATCATGCAGCGCAAAAGAAAGACCGCCATTGAAGTCCGCGTGACGAGCTGCATCGAATTGATACCCATTTTATGCAAAAATATCTACTTTGAAATTTGACCTAATTTGAACTGACCTTGACCTAACTTTCACCAGAACATAATCTAAACTGACCCCAAAGGCTGAAAAGGCTGTCTGGCCCCTAAATCCCATTTGGCATATGAAATGGACCATAAAAAAAATGCAACACATGCAATTTTCATATTGTGACACTAAGTGACCTGACCTCTGTGACCTGACCTGGTATCAGTGGAACTGACTATAGGTTCGTGTGATGCATGAGTTATGATCAATTCTACAATTCCAGATAATCACACACTTGAAGGCGCTCTAAGAGCCTCTATAAAGTATGCGGCGCAATGTGAGAGTAGGCTTCCGACAATCCTTACCACTGATAATGGAGTAGGTGATGTTGTTGTCGACGCTGGTGTCGCCATCTATAGCTTGAACAGTGAACAGCTCACTGCCCTGGAACAGAACGCCATGAACAGTGAACACACACACACAGCACCCGAGAGCACAATAAATACAGGGTGAAAATCATTGTGTCCTGGACTAGTGCGGAATGAACGGCGAACAGCACAGTAAACACACTGAAACAGAGCACAGCAAACACACTGAAACAGAGCACAGTAAACACACTGAAACAGAGCAGAGTAAACACACTGAAACAGAGCACAGCAAACACACTGAAACAGGGCACAGTAAACACACTGAAACAGCACAGTAAACACACTGAAACAGAGCACAGTAAACACACTGAAACAGAGCGCTGTAAACACACTGAAACGGAGCACAGTAAACACACTGAAACAGGGCACAGTAAGCACACTGAAACAGAGCGCACAGTAAACACACTGAAACAGAGCACAGTAAACACACTGAAACAGAGCACAGCAAACACACTGAAACCGAGCACAGTAAACACACTGAAACAGAGCACAGAAAACACACTGAAACAGAGCACAGTAAACACACTGAAACAGAGCACAGTAAACACACTGAAACAGAGCACAGTAAACACACTGAAACAGAGCACAGTAAACACACTGAAACAGCACAGTAAACACACTGAAACAGAGCACAGTAAACACACTGAAACAGAGCGCTGTAAACACACTGAAACGGAGCACAGTAAACACACTGAAACAGGGCACAGTAAGCACACTGAAACAGAGCGCACAGTAAACACACTGAAACAGAGCACAGTAAACACACTGAAACAGAGCACAGTAAACACACTGAAACAGAGCACAGTAAACACACTGAAACAGAGCACAGTAAACACACTGAAACAGAGCACAGTAAACACACTGAAACAGAGCACAGTAAACACACTGAAACAGCACAGTAAACACACTGAAACAGAGCACAGTAAACACACTGAAACAGAGCACAGTAAACACACTGAAACAGAGCACAGCAAACACACTGAAACCGAGCGCAGTAAACACACTGAAACAGAGCACAGTAAACACACTGAAACAGAGCACAGTAAACACACTGAAACAGCACAGTAAACACACTGAAACAGAGCACAGTAAACACACTGAAACAGAGCACAGTAAACACACTGAAACAGAGCACAGTAAACACACTGAAACAGGGCACAGTAAGCACACTGAAACAGTGTGAGAATTATTCACCGTCTTCCACTCCTCACATCCCTTCCATGCATATTTCCTAACCTTGATTCCTCACCAGCGCCACCTATGCCAAATTTGCCAATTTAGTCTCGCTTGGTAACCGCTAGATGGCAGGAAGTGTGGCTCTAACCGCATCGGTCATAGAAGTGCGTGTCGACTTGACCATGAAAATCGTTGTCACGTGACTGGCACGAGGCCAAAATCAGCTGTTTGTTCAGCTGTTCAAACGAGCTGCGCGGCAGGGTGCGGCACTGAAAAAGTGGCAGATACATACTGGAATCACGGGCGGGGACAGTCTGGAAGCCTCGTGGTTGTTAACCCGCGCACCGACGGGGGGGGGCGGATATCCGCCCCCCCTGAGGTTTTTCGCGAATAGCGGGAAAACCGCGGCGCGTAGCGCCGCGAAATTTGGTATGACTATTCCCTTATCAATTTTACACATGGTGTGCAAGTTTGAACCTCCTACCTTTCAAGGTCAGGTCACCAGGTCACTTTGAATGACCCAACCTCAAGTCACTTTTTTGCAACTTTGTCACCGTGCCAGAGCTACAGTAGATGTCGGAGGCCTTTGAAAGTCGCAGGATGTTATTAGGTCATTAGTAGCTACAATTTGTATATCTCGGAATTTTGATATCGGTGACCTAAGGTCAGGTCAATTTCGCGACCTCCCCATTATAAGTCAATGGGGGAAAAATCAACTCCCTGTTTTTACCACTAAAACGGGTCGGAATGGCCCCATATACCATACATGACTTCATATACGATCAACCTTCACTACCTTGAGGTCTGTTTTGCTGTTGGGCAGCTGTGAGGTCATGTGACGTCATCAAAGGTCACCAAAGGTTTTTGGCCAATAACTCCGTACAGGAAAAAGATACAGACGCGTGGATGGTCTCATTGTGTTCAGCTCGTCAAGACGCATCGAATGATATACATGATGACCTCGAAGTCACGTGACCTGAGGTCAACCTTTGACCTTGACCTTTCGAGGTCAACATATATATCATTCGATGCGGATTGACGAGAGGATCACGATGATGCCCTTAGTTTGTTCCTATCTTGACTAATTCGAAAGTTATTCGAGAAAAACTCTCTCCATATTTAGCGCCGCCATTTTGACTTTTTCGACCCCTGTGACGTCATCTTTGACCTGACCTGAAAATGACCTTAGTAAAAATTGTAGATCTTGACCGTGCGTATCCGATGCCGTTTACCGCTTGTCGCTATCTTGCTTCGTTCTCGAGATCTCAGGGGGGGGGGCGGTCATCCGCCCCCCCCCGTCGGTACTAAGTTGGCGCAGACCCCCGTCGGTGCGCGGGTTAAACGCTGTGTGACACACAAGAACCAGCAAACTCAAATAGTGACGATACAGATATCAACCCGATCAAGAAGCCATACGAAAGGTTTACTTTGAGCGTAAAGCCACTGAGTTTTACAAGGATTTGGACACGAGGGCAAGAATTACTGAGTTCTGTACAAACATTCAAGAAGCGCATACCAAGGTAAGCGAGACTAATCAAATTGGCTATCACTGTGGCATAATAATTTCCATTCATCCAAAAATCCTTACATAGAAGAAAATTGTAAAACTCATGGTAACTCACTGTTCATCGTCAAAACTTCCCTCTGTGTCAACTATTTCCTTGGGTGATATTGTTCGTCATTATCAAACACGCAGAACTTGAAGTGGATATAAAGCTTTATCGGAATTCACTGGGATTGTATTGCGTATGCAAGTCCAAATATTTCGGCCAATATTGTTTGGCCTTGGTCACTGGACAACTAAAATAACCCTATAATACGCAATACAATCCCAGTGAATTCCGATAAAGTTTTATATCTACAAACATAAACCTGGGAAAAATATGACTCTAAAACTTGAAGTGGTTCAGTTCAAACATACTCTGTGACTGACTGCTCGTGTCACATTCACACTCGCAAACTCAAGCCTCAAACTGACACTATCCAAGCTGCTGATTGTGTCGTCTCATTCACACTCACAAACTGACACTTTCCGAGCTGCTGATTGTGTCGCTTCACTGGTTGAAGATCTCTGGACTGTCGCAAGTGATTGATAGTTCCTTCACCAGATCATATAGTTATAAGGTTGTTATTCACAAGATTGTGGTAACATTGCTCATCCTGCGCCATAATTGTATTTTTTCTTGTTATCTCAACGTTTAGGCACAATGACAGACTCAAAGCCAGACCTGAGAAGTTTGAAGGTCAAACGAGGTCATGTCAAACGTGTTATCACTCTAACGCTCAAGAGCCTGCAGCAAGAGGAAGTACATCCAAACGTTGCAAGTGATTGTGTGTCGAGCATACAGCAAAAGCTGAAGGAAGTAGAGGAATATGACATGTCAATTGCTACGGAGCTGGCTGATGAAGATGGAGAAGGTGAAGGATATGAAGAAGAGTTGGCCGAACAGGTAAAGTACCAACTGGAGATGAAAACAGCTATGGAGAAAATCAAGAAGAAGACTGATGTTGCTGAGCAGGGTGCCAGCGCTACAGAAACAACAGCCAAACTGAAGGAAATAAAACTGCCCACGTTCAGTGGCACGCAAGCAGATGTCATGGAATTCAATGACTTCTTCACACTCTTCGAGGAGCTGATTGGGAAAAACAGCAAAATCGGTGGAGGAAGCAAGCTGCTGTATTTGAAGACCTATCTACGAGGCAGTGCGTTGGACCAGATCAAGCACCTCTCCAATGACAGCAACAACTACGAGTTGGCGGTGCAGTTCTTGAAGAAGGAGTTTTTGAACAAAGACAAGGTTGTTGAAAATCACATCAGAAAGATCTACGAACTACAAGCCCCTCCGGCACGTGACCTAGAGGCTGTACGCAAGTTCATGAACACAGCTCGCACATCCATCTATGAGCTGAAAACCTTTGGTTATGATGCTCTAGATGGCGACTCACTAGGCAGCCGGATCATAAGTTTTCTTCTATGGGAGAAGCTACCAGCAAACTTCAAAAAACGGATGGACACAATGACACCCACAACAGCACAGTTGCTGGAATGCTATGGTGACATCCTCCGAACACTTGAGAGACTATCAGAAAAGAAACCACACTCAGCCTCTCAGGCGTCAAAGCAAACTGCTCTGACCGGAAAGTCGAAGACACCGGCTCACACGACTCAGCATGCACCCATGAAGAACATCAGCACATTTCAGACTGATACACAGAAGCAGGCTCTGAAATACAAACCATGCAAACTGTGTCAGGGCACACACTCGATGCTGAAGTGTAACTCGTTTCAGGACGCGACAAAACGTCGTGCACGGTTGGCCGAACTGAAACTGTGCACAGCCTGCAGTGGTCAACACAGTTTGTCCAGCTGCCCCGGCAAGGACAAGGGATTGAACTACCCATGCACCATCTGTGGAGACAAGTCGCACATTACTGCACTTTGTGTTCCAGGAAACTCCACCCAGAGTCGACTCTGCTTGATGAGCGAGCAGCACGGCCGCCGTTCACTGCTGCCGACGACGTCAGTGGTCATCTGTGCCTGTGGAGAAGCAGAAGTGGCCAGAGCGCTGATAGATCACGGGAGTCAGGCGAGCTACATCAGTCAGGCACTGGCAGAGAAGCTGAAGCTGGAGGAGAAGGGACACGAGGAGACGTTCACAGTGAAGACATGCATCGGGACAGAAGAGAAAAGACACCGAGTCGTCACCTGCGAGATCGCAATCACACCGAAACGCATGATCAAGGCAGAGTTCCTCATCGATCCAAACATGGACCTCAGTTACAATCTCCCAGGCGTATCACGTGCGGTGAAGCAACTGCAAGATGAAGGCGTCATACTGG